TGCAAACTAATTTGGTTCTTTCGAGAGACTCACCTGGAACCCAGCTGAATCTCTCGTTTATGATGTTCTCAGGCAACTAAATGTACTGTACCAGGCCACCTCATGTTTCAGTCGCTACGATATTTGAAATATCCCGACACATGTATACCTTTGTAATGTTCTACTCATAAGTTGCTGAGAACCTTTTTGTTGTTTTGTCCTCAATGGGAATCATCAGCAGTGCGCGTCTCACGAAACGCCCTCTAACCCACTATCTCTTAGCTAGTAGTTTGGACACTTAGCCGCCAGATCACGAACAGCTGGTCAGCAGTATGATTAACTCGCACTTAGACAGAATATAGCGCGACTCATCCTTCAGCCATGGGATCCACATCAGGTCGTCACACATGTTGACTGACTCCCCGAGTGATGACTTCTCTGGTGCAAGTTTCACTCCCCCTATAGCTGTCATCATCCGAAGATACTTGATTTGGATGTCGTTATCACATTCAGGATATTCGGTGAATGAACTAGTTAGATCTGTCCAGTGCATTCTGCATAGGCCGTCGTTTTGTTCAGTGTTACATCTGGTGTCTACTCATCTTCATTTCCTGGTTCTATTGAATAGTGTAGCCGGCAAGGTTGTCTGTCACGTAATATCAGAGTGAATCCCTGAGAACACTTAGCGAACCTAGCGACAATTCTTCCATCACTATGGTGTACCTGTGGGGCTACACTTGAATGCACAATAGAAGATAGCCTGCGCCAAACCTACCGGGCTGTCGTCTGATATGTAGGTCTAAAACTGTCTAATTCAGAAGCTGCGCCCAAAGTGAGAAAATACGGTCCTCATGAGCTTTGCTACCCCTTCTATGAACATAGAAGGCCGGTTCCGCGAACTGCTTGATTTCGGACTGTGGCTTTGGGATTCATGAATCCAGTGATTGACTGAGGTCCTGATATTGAGTTAACTGCAGTCTAACTTGACTCAACTCAATGTGTCAGTGAGCTACATCGTGATGAATAGAAATAAGACTATCCTTGCTGTAAAAAGTTTGAAGCTGTTAGGAATTCACTGAATAAGGAAGGTTTGCCTAACAGTCGGTAGATTTATTGTTGGACAACAGTTCGCTTTTGACACAAAGGTTTCGTCAGATCATGTGAGTTGGTCACCAGGTTGGCCGAGTTTTAGGAAAGACAGAATCAATCAGCAAAATCTCTTTCAACTATTAGATCCGTGCTGAATCTCGGCCAAAGACTGTTGCTGGTTAGCGTGGGTGAATATGTCCTACATCTGATGGGTTGGGTTACTTAGCAACAACCTAGTAGGGTTTAAGATCATAGTCGCTCTCTGATGTCGTTTGGTAATTTTTGTTGGTTTGTATGTTAGTAAGTGATACGATAGTATGGCTATGGGTGGTAATATGATAATCTTACGCTCGACTCGGGTTATCTACTTGAAATCTAAGTGATTTACAAGGATAACTCTTCACTGATGATACACATCGTTACGTGTCATTTCGGTCTACAGTTCTCTAAACGTTCTCTCTCTTTCTCTGCCTTATAATCTATCCGCTGGAATGTTTGACGATTTCCATAGCCTTTCTATCGGTTGCTGTGGCGTGACTCGCAGGATCGGTCTCAAACCCCTAATAATTTCTATATCTATTTTTTATCCTGTATATTGTGCACATCCCGACCTCTGCTGAGCCCTTGACTAGCACTGAAAATCCAGCTGATTTTCCTGACTGTACGTTCACTGCTGACTGTATGTTCACTATTTTCTTGTGCTCACGGATTCTGGTCTGAGGTTTTCTGGTAGCCTATCGTACGTAGTTATTGTATTGTATGCAGTTATTGCGGTTGATTTTTTAAACACCGTCCCTAGTTCAGTCGATTCAATTCGTCAACTATAAACCGTGTAATATAGGCCGATTGGTTCCAGCTGCTACAGTTTCGACCGCCGGAAAACGAAACAGTATGGAACATACAGCCAAGCGTTGGAGGCAGTGGCATGTTAAGTTAGTTAGGAAATCGGATTGCTGCGCATTGAAGGCGATAGCTTTAATGCAAAAGCACCACTAACTGCGCGACTGGATCATTGCTGCCAGTTTTCTATGGAGGAAGATGTCGGTAGCTCAGGTAGCGTAAAAGGTCGTTGACTTGTTCGCTGAGCTGGGCAATTCGATTGCAAACGTTTCATCACCAACCATCATCAGTGCGCTATTGGAAAGCGTAGTGGTGCGAAGCGGTGGGTTAGTGGTTAACGCTCCTCAATAACGCACTGATGACGTCCCCTCGATTAGTGATGGAACGTTTGCAATCGAACTGCCCAGCTCAGCGAACAAGCCAAAGACCATTTCTGCCAGTGTCACTAACCACTTGTTGGTTGAGTCTCTGGTCCCCTCTACTGGGAAGCAGTCCTTCTACAGTGCTAATGCAGAGCGTGGTGTTTCCCTTCTTGAACGTTCCTTTCATGTTGGCCGTACTTGGAGAACTTCAAATTACTTCAACTGTCTCTTTATATTGAAGGGCACCACCCCCAGTTGGGTTTCGCTACGGGTACTCAACCTCTTCTGATTGAACGATAATCAAAATAGCTGGATATCCACCAGCTTGATCTTTGTTTTTAGCTCCAGAGTGAGCCGCTGTTCAATCAATTCCAGTGCGAAGATCCCTTGCTTACGATACTAATCAATACCACCCTAAGATGTGTTGTTGATTTACTCTAAATCGTTCAAGCGTCAGCTTGCTTCTCGTACAGGGTCGCTTTTACTTTTCCACTGATCTCCTATAACATACAGTCTAAGAAGCATCAGCTAGGTGTTGTCTGAACTATAGGTAATCGCTCGTATTAGTAACAGCTGTAGCTTACTCGTGTCCATCTTTCCACTTGACGCTCCCCGCCTAGCCGCCGCAATATTCGCAGTCTCTGGATGTTATGAGCAAACACACCCGCAGTTTCTACGCCCCCACTGAAGTAACCTTCCAAATCGTTTAACGCTAGGAAGTATCTCTTCCGCTCCTATGGTTTTCAAGTATAGTAAGATTTAAACTCTTCTCTAACAGGCAACCCTGTTCCCTACATGGCAGTGTATTTGAAAACTTTACTACACGATAATATACAGTAGACTGTTTGCATCTTTGTGTAGGCTTGCCGATACAATGAGTAGCAGGAAGTGACTTTTCGATGCTGACCTTGAATGTCTGCACTTCTGTCGCCTTTGTGCTGAATAACTGGAACTCTGTGAGAGAGGACGTGGTCTAACGAGGCTTTTGTGCCAAAAGTGTAAACGCACCCGGCAAATAATTCAACAACTGCTTGTGAAACCTTTACAAAAAGCCTTGCTCGTTTGTTTAACCACTTGGTTTTAGGGACGACGGAACCAAGCTCCAGAAATAGTTCGAGTTATCTGTGCATCTGATCGCGTTTTATGCGAGTGCCAGAGTCAGTATGGAAACCGACTATGGCTGAATATGTTCCAGTTCATCCTGCCGAATTCAAGTATATCGAAACCGCATTGAGATGTTACTATACAAAGAATTTGAGGAACCTTAGAGAGTGTACGCAAATTCGGTTGTTGCTGATGCGCACCTCTCACCGCAAGGAACAGAAACTCCAGCAGACCTGAGGCGCGCACAGGCGCAAAGGTATTGGTTGACGTGCACGACACACCCGAGGGTAACTAGTACGGCCACCGGTTTCTCAAAAAATCAAATTTCGTTGTCTTTTAAATTAGGTTGGTATAGGCAACCAGGCCGCAGTCTTCGTAGAAGCACCTCCCCTGGAAGGCGCGACATATCCCTGGTAGTGCGAATATTTTTTGCCTAGGGCTTTCTCCGTGTTCTCAGAAGCATAACATCTTTGAGTGAACCCACTCGACAGACAACGCTATCTACTGTCTGCTTGTGATTTTTCTTTCTCTAGATGGACAACGATCGGTTGGCCGCATAAGATCAAACAAATGATTATCCAGGTGGAGAAGAATCTCGAGGACGATGAAGAACGGTTCAGAAAACTGCAAATATCCGAGTCGTCCGCATTTAGCGATAAACTGGATACACTTACAGTGAGGCTTATAAAATCTGAATGTTGCCTGTCTCTTATTTCAATGTGTGAGCTATAGACAGGCAAATTAATAAAATAATAGTAAATATAACGGACTAAGTATATATAGATGTACATAAATGCATATGGATAGTAATTATTTCCAGATGTCACCGTGTCACTCAATGGCGATCGCTTGGTGCAACAATGCAATACCCCCATTGTTCTGCAACTTACCTGTTTCTCCAGACTATATTGTTGTGTGCAATTTGAGGTCTCTTTTTAATCACAGACAGATTTTCAGATCTTGGTGAGCTATTGATTTGTGCGAAATAGATGCTGACAAGCAGGGAAGGACTGATAAAACAGAACACGGCATCCAATTGCACTCTAATCATTCCATGACAATCGCTTATCAAGCTTCGACAAGGCAAATTAATATTTAGCTACCGCGCCCATGACTGATCGTAATACGAAGCGGTTACGCGTATTCATTCCGTGAGTGATTTAAGTGGATAACTGCATGCTATATCACAGGGAAAGAATCGTAGCATAAAACCTAGTAGCAGGAAGCGACGAAGCGTAGTATAAGCTGGTAGTGATTTCTGTTTGACATCCTTGTTCTAGTTCACCGAGTTCTCATTTGTCTTGATCTATCACAGATGATGGTTTCATCGATGGCCTCCTACACAGAAATCAGTAAGGCACAAGAAGTCGCCAACGAGGTTCGACGTATATACAAACAATTGCTGGATGCACAAACTTTGGCTGGGACGTACAACAATCGCGAGAGACTTTTTGGGCTGCCTAGCACGAATGTGAGTGAAATTTGTTTCCTCGAGTGTCTGATAATTCACGTGCTTTCCAACGTGTCATGAGGTCAAAAATGATCAAACAAGCTTCGGTTCGCTCCTGGAAACTTTCATTTTAGTGGTGTGCAGTCTTCCTAGACGCAATCCCGAAGCCTGTGTTGGCTGTCCGAATTCCGCTGGTTGCGATAACTTCGGATCTTGATTGGTTCTTTACTAACTTGTCAGGTGACCGCTATTTGTGTGCAGTGCCCCCATTCTATCTGCATTGTTGACGAAGCAAAACAAGTAAATTTGGTCTTCACGGGAGACTCAAGTGGATCTCTCGTTTGTGATGCTATTCAACTGAATGTGCTTCACACGGGCCGCCTCAAGTTTCAGTTGGCACGATATTCGAGATATCGCAGTATATTTTCATAAAGGAAACTACTCACAAGTTTGTTGAAAACTCTCTGACAGCCTACGACCTGTCTCGCCCTTCCTGGGGCTCATCAGGTGGGCGTAGCCCCCGAGTTTCCGTCAACCCAAATTGGACTGATTTCGACAAACACAATCATTTGCAAATCAATCTGGTTTTCACGGGTGACTCAAGTGAATCTCTCGTTTATATTCTTCAACTGAATGTTCTGCTGATTTGCAAATATGTGCCAAGGAAATCGTTCGTCGCTATCATGAGAGGTGTTGTCCCATTTTGAGTATTCAGGTAAAGAACCTTATACAATAATTTGGAGGTAAATTTCCGGTTCACAAATTTATCCATAAGTTGATTAATCACACGATAGACGAAGGGAGGAATTCAGGGGGAACAATTCAACTGAGACTGTCGCACACTGAAGTTGGAATTAATAGATTTTGGAACACTTTAAGGATTCTGAAATTGCGATAAGCACTGGTGCTTGCCGTTATGTATTTAAAGTGAAAACGCTTCCAAGATACTGTTGCGACCTTTGATAGCTCCAAGAGTTCTTAGCACCCATCCGAATTCTTTTTGAATGGGGTTTAAACAGGTGTCTGGATGCTTCCTTATACGAACAGAATGTCTTGGAATCCAACCAGATCTGAAGGTGCGCTACAAATGGATGAGAAGGAAAAAAGGAAAATGGTGAATATTATGTCCAGCAGGGAAGAATAGATGCTGTACATAATTAATGGGTAAGCTTCACAAGGACATGTAACGTCTCGAGTCACATCGCAAAAAGATCCACATGACCGACAGTGGAGCGATCACCTGAGATTGATCCCAGCCTGTCAGTTGATTATAACTGCTAAACTAATACTGACATGACTCGTCCGTCTATGACTCAACAATTCCAAAGGCGCTGGTGTGAGCAAGCAACAGCAGACATTCATTGCACTGGAGAGGATCGCGACTACTGTCAAATGAATTAACACAGGTCACTGCCAATAAACTGCTGGCTACCCAAAATATCAGAACTTTTTTTAATGGCTTAGGGAATACGGATATGTAGCCACTAGATTTAAGCATTAAAGTCAATCTCACCAAAGTGGTCACACACCAGCAGTAAGATTACCCACCTTTCCCCTTCAACAGAAGAACGATAACTGAACGGAGCAGCACTGTGCGAGCTGATGATTTCTGCCTCTTGCTTCAGCAGCAGGAGATTATGGAACTTCGGGTTCCCTAAGTCCAGGATATCTCATTCTACTCTATGTTTTGGATGTTTGAGTAAGCTTCGGCAGCAGTGAAACTAGCGTGTAAAGAGTTCCCATAAATCCATCGTTAAGCCAGATGGACTTATTTCGGTCTCCTGCTGTTTTACTTCTCGTTGCCATAGATTAATGGCTGAGGTTGGCAGTAGGTTTATTGTCCCAGTGGGGAAATTGTGGGATCTTGAATAGTGGATCATAAGCTTATTTATTATCCTTATCAACGGGTACGGAAATTATTGGTATGGCTGCCTTGGAACTACGAACACGTTTTTCATGTGCGTTTGTCATCACCACACTGGGATTTTATTTTTAAGCCAATAAGATGTTCCCACGCCCAAACACCTTTTTTCATTCCATGCAGTACGAAAAAATTCCTCGTCTGTTGAAAGATTTCGAACCTTTCAAAAACCTGTGGCTCAGTGCCGCCGAATGGCTAAAAACACAGGAGGCTGTTATGAACGACCCATTGAGTTCAATTGATGCGGAACAGGTGGAGAAACAAGTTCAAGAATGTTACAAGACAATGCACAGATCCACCCGTATATTCCACGAGCTTCCCGGGGTGCAGGAGGTGGCTAATCAAATCAAACAGGCTATTGAAGAATTCAAGCCGTTCATTCCACTTATTCAAGGTTTGCGCAACCCAGGTATGCGTAAACGTCACTGGGAAGAATTGAGCGAACTACTGGGTGTCAGCATCATACCAAAATCAACGCTCACTTTCGCCAAATGCTTAGAAATGCGATTACAAGTGAGTTACTTGGGATTTCAAGTAGCAACGCTAAGTAGCACTAGGACGTTTCTCTTACTTGATGTATCGAATCGCGGATAAAAACCAAACTTGTGTAAACAGCTGAAGTTTGAAGTTATTGTTGCCTTAACTTGGTAAAAACAAGCATTTAATCCTTTTTGATATAACACAGAAACGAGCAGAGTTCGGTCCTGTTCAAACTTTAACGCGAGCTGTCCTTTAGTCCTGTTCGGTAAGCAGTAGTTCTCTTTGGTCCTTCCAGGATATGTTGCCTATTTGGATGACGATCCATTTGTTTATAAGTGTTCCCAAATGCTCAAAATCCGTCAGTGTATCGGCTAAATTCTTGGAGGAAGCGGCATTCTAAAGTCTTAATAGGTCTGCTCGCAACCTTAGTCCAAATCGACTTGTAGCTTTAAGGGGCAAATATGTGTTAGCCTAGAGTTGCTGATGGTTGAAAAGTAGGTCGAAGTCTTCAGTCATGAGAATCAGCTCTATTCGTAGGTTGAACTGCCTACTTCACCACATATCAACTGAGCTTATGAAAGATGGGCCGAATTCTTCACTGTCGAGCATAATCCATTCACAGTGTTGTTTAGGCGAGACAGCTGAATATAATTCACAATTTGTGGGAGGTTCGTGCATTCACTCATCTTCAATTGGAGCTTCTACAAAATCCTCCCCTGCCTACCTCTGAGCTGTACTCACCATCGAAAGATTTTGCACGTTAAACAGGAGAGTAATGCCAAAACCGATGGACAACCCTTTAGTATTATCACTCGAAGCAACCATTTTTTTCGTTTTCACTTTCATCGCCAGGAATGGTTCCTCGGTTAACCGTTGGACTATAAGTAGGTGCTATGGGCAACCAGACTGATCAAAACAGTTAGCCGGTTGAACGTCAAGCAAAACAGTGAACAGTATCACCGGAGACTTTCAAGAGTGCAATAAACTGAATACACTATGAGGTAAAGTATTCGCGACTAATAAGTAGTGGGTGATAAGGAGTTGAAGAATAAGCAACTGGTATCCGAACGATCTTCCTCTTATACCCACAAAGCGCTCTTGCCAGCTCTATATATGCACATGCTAGGGAACTGTGGCACCTGTACATTGCCAACATTTGGATAGTCTGTGTTTGTACTAGGCGTGATCCCGTGTCAAGTTCTTACCGAGCTAGAAACTAATTCACAACGGTATTACAACCCGAACCATAATTATGCAACAACACTCGCCAGTCTTTTTGTTCGAACCCGTGCTGATCTCACTTATAGTTCACAAACGAGGGTACAGCATGAAAATCTTATCAAATATCGATCCCACATTTTAAATTTCTAGCACATTCTTTGGACCGTGTTACACTTCCGTGTGTGCACAATTTATTCATTATGCCACATGACTTGATGCTGCTGAGAGCTATCCGAAGGTCACCGAAATGGGCGGTTTTGTTAAACAGCTCAGAAGCAGTGGTTAGTTCTATTTCAAGCATCAATCCGTTAACTTTTCCCCCATTTCCTCTATTCTCCCATCTCTCAGGACCACATTGAGACAATTGCAAAAGTTGCTGACATTGCCGGGAAGGAGTACTCTATTGAAAGTGCTCTGAACAAAATGGTTAGCGAATGGCAGTCGGTTGTATTCGAAATTCTGCCCTACAAAGATACCGGTACTTGTATCGTAAAGATAGGTGACGAAGTTAATCAGCTGTTGGATGATCATGTGGTAATGACACAGTCAATGAACTTTTCTCCATACAAAAAGCCATTTGAAGAGCGCATTGCTCAGTGGGAAAGTAAACTACACATCACTCAAGACGTGTTAGACGAGTGGATAACATGCCAAAGGCAGTGGCTTTACTTAGAACCAATATTCAGTTCGGAAGATATAACCCGGCAACTACCTGTTGAAAGTAAACGGTACCAAACTATGGATCGAATATGGCGCAAAGTCATGAAGCAAGCAGCCGACCAACCGCAAGTAATCACATTATGTCCCGATCCACGCCTACTGAATAGTCTGCGGGAATGCAACCGTCTCTTGGATCAGGTGCAAAAAGGACTAAGTGAATATCTGGAAACAAAACGTCAGGCATTTCCCCGGTTCTACTTTCTGTCCGACGATGAACTTTTGGAGATTCTTTCTCAGACCAAAGATCCTACAGCTGTGCAACCTCACCTGCGCAAATGCTTTGAGAATATCGCCAAGGTAAGCTTATGTGGCATCTGGTTTTCCTATTTCTCCTCTGACAAGCCTTTAAGGGGACCTTGCCCATAGAGACCGTCACTGATTTTCGGATCTACACAGATACATCTGGACGATCGACACTATCTTGACCAGTCAAATTGTTCCGCTCGGAAGCTACGTCCCCTCTCAGGAAGGGGAATCAAAGCAAATGGTATTCAAACTGGATTCATTAGTATGACAAAAAGAGTTGTTTACCGAAAAACTACCATGTGTCCCTTGTTTGTTCTTCTTAAACTCCCGTGAATTCGCTGAATCCGGCAGGAACTCTGCCGAGGAACTCAGCACAAAGTGACACACAGCTGCATCTAGCATACCCTCAGTGTTTCTGATCCCATTCTGTAGCTTCTTTTGGAATCGGCCACTCGTGTTGCCATCGCTGTCTTATCCCTTTGCACACTAAACATCATACAGATTGAAATGTGTCCTGGTAACCTACACTTACATAGGCTTACCGCTCTAGCCCTCAGTTATTAGTCAGAGAGATTCATCAGAAAGTTGCTAGATGAATAGTTTTGCTTCGAGTTCTACGCAGTTTAAGCTGAAATGCCAAACTCCCTTCGAGTGTACGAAGATGTGGCATGTTGATATTGTTTCAATCCGGTGCATAGAACTGTCAGGCAAGTAAATGCACCTGGCGGCACTGAAGTTGTTGTGAGGTAATTTTGCACATGAGTTTAACCCTATAAGAACACCAGCTCCTCGTTTAGCCACTACTGACATTCGTAGGGCATCCATGGCGCTAGCCCCGAATTATCTCTGACTGTTTCGTTTCTTTTCGGAGGTATTGTTGTGCTGAGGGGTCTGTTGTTTATATTCAGAAAGAAAAACAGATTTACCTCTGACTTCCGACAAATGAAACATTTGAATGTGGGACAATTTGGGCTTGGTATACATCGTCACGCCTGTGGACGACGTACCGAGAAACGATGGGTCGTTGATCAAACGTTGCATAAGGCGCGGAACAGATACTGAAACAAACTTTATCTTCTGTTTCCGCATAGTCAGACATTTTACCTACAAATGGTACTCTTGTCTACAGTGCCTTGGTGTACAGGTTCTGGTTTGTTATTCAATAAACGAGCGTGTGACCGCACCTCCTGCACCTCACAAAATGACTCAGTAATAGTGTTTTCATTTTGTGTGACACTATGGACCACGTGGGTGCCTACTGACTGAAGCTTTTCCTATTCAAGCCTATTCTCGAACTTTTCTCTTTCAGCTCAACTTTGAACCAGATCTAGAGATCACTGCTATGTACTCATCTGAAGGAGAATGCGTCCAGTTTGAAAAGACCACGTATCCGACCGGGAACGTAGAGGAATGGATGTTGGAGATTGAAAGCATGATGCGAACTTCTGTACGTGCGATTATTGGGCGTGCACTGGAAGCGTACACTAAGACACCACGCACCGAGTGGGTACTCCAGTGGCCTGGACAAGTCGTTATTGCAGGCTGCCAAACCTTTTGGACAAGTGAGGTGACGTCAGCTCTCGCTGGAGGGTCACTGGAACAGCTGTATCCCAATCTCCTCAGGCAGCTGGATGGACTTCGTGAATTGGTTCGCGGAGATCTTACTAAGATCGGTCTTATGACTTTATCCGCACTCATTGTCATCGAGGTACATGCACGAGATGTTGTTTCGCGTATGATGGAAGAAGGAGTGAGAAATGTGAACGATTTTGAATGGATTAGTCAACTGCGATACTATTGGCTTCGGGAAGAGGAGGAACTGAAGCTACGTGCTGTGAACGCTGAGTTCAATTATGGCTACGAGTACTTGGGAAATACGACTCGATTGGTCATCACACCTCTGACTGACCGCTGTTACTTGACTCTGACGGGTGCACTGCATCTGAAATTTGGTGGAGCACCAGCTGGACCAGCGGGTACGGGGAAAACTGAGACCACAAAAGACCTGGGCAAAGCCTTTGCTATCCAATGTGTTGTGTTCAACTGTTCCGATCAGCTGGATTTCATGGCGATGGGTAAATTCTTCAAAGGTCTGGCTTCGGCTGGAGCCTGGGCGTGCTTCGATGAGTTCAACCGAATCGATATTGAAGTCCTATCCGTGGTCGCCCAACAGATCACAACTATTCAAAAAGCACAACAACAGCGTGTAACTAGGTTCATCTTTGAAGGAGATGAACTTGTCCTGAAGCCATCCTGTGCAGTGTTCATTACCATGAATCCAGGTTACGCAGGTCGGACAGAACTTCCAGACAATTTGAAAGCCCTATTCCGTCCGGTGGCTATGATGGTTCCAGATTATGCTCTGATTGCAGAGATTTCATTGTTCTCATTTGGGTTCTCAGATGCACGTCTTTTGGCAAAGAAGATAGTGACCACATTCAAGCTTTCTTCGGAACAGCTAAGTACTCAGGATCACTACGATTTTGGTATGCGTGCAGTGAAAAGTGTGATTTCCGCGGCTGGTAACCTGAAGCGCCAGAATCCGGAGATGGATGAGGTGAGTGTAAATGTTCTTTAAATGACTGACGGTGTTCGGACTCATTGAAGTTCGCTGACCCGTCTTCTATTCTGATGCCTTTAAGACTCTCCCGTGGTCTTTCACCCACACTGACAAGGACAGAACTTTGCCTTCCCTGTTGTATTTGTTTTAGGAACTCATCTGCCTTCGTGCTATTCGGGATGTGAACGTACCGAAATTCCTATCGGACGACTTGAAGTTGTTCAACGGTATCGTTTCCGACTTGTTCCCGAACATACGGTAAGTAGTCTATTTGGTCGCACAATCGATGAGCACTCCTAAAGAAGAACCAATGATTCTCATTCAAAAGAAGGACAAGTTTTCGAGTAGAATGTGCAACAAACGGATGCAACGGTATTAGGATTACCAGATAAGGAAGGTCAAATACATCAGGATTAAGCGTGAACTGACCTGGCCATTGTTCACATTGGCTAGTACAACTAGCGAGTGTGAATGGACATATTACTGATTATCTTTGAGGTATCGTTCATAGCATTTCTATCCACATACTCAACTACCAGTGGTTTCGTACATTCTCCTTTGGCGTTTTAGCTATCTCATGTAAGCGACAGAATTCGTTTCATTGTTTGTTCTCTTGTTTGATGCTTTCCCTTTATAAACCTTGGTGGAAAAATAACGTTCAACTCAATTTTCCAGGGAACAGCCAGTGGACTACGGTGATTTAACCATTGCCTTGAAAACATCATGTGGAAAACTGGGTCTAATGGATGTGGAAGGTTAGTTTTCTTATTGTATTTAATCAGTGTTTATGTGCTACGGCTTTTCTAATGAGTAGAGCTCAACAAACCTTATTAAACTACGAATCGATGCTGACAGTATGCAATCTAATGGGGTTGGAAACGACTTGCGATTTGGAAGGATTCTTGTATGATATTGTTTATCTCCATTTTGTTAGGCCAGTTTGAGTATCGCTGTCTCATTTCTGTCAGTTCATCTATTACTGATCTCACTCGGTTCTTTATCCTTGGAAAACGAATAATTTCAAGTATCCGAAAAAACCGAGCAAATGGTGCTTAGATAATCGACGCGGCACTCCTTGAGTGTAGTCTGATCAATTGAGGGACTGGATAACCTCGTTTCGGTAAGTTCGTACCTTAGGAGTTGTTATATCTAACTCTGGGTTAACCGCTATTAGGACCTGGTCACTAATTAGTAAGAGTTTAGATAGCTCTGCAATAGCATTAACAGATTGTATGCCCAGCAGCATGCGCGTATGCATAAGACTCAGCTTCTCATGTTCATCTCAACATGATACTGTAGTTAATTAGTGCAGGAAACTGTCTAATAGCTGAGCCAGCAATGCTAGTTCTCTTCTCAACGGAAATGAACACGAAGGAGATTTGGGTTTCAGAACAGATTAACCAATAAACATCAGATAGGTAGGTATGCATTCGTTTTTCCTCGTCTGTTATACAACTGATGGGTCCCGGCTGCACTAGTCAACTTGACCTTTGTGCATTTTCAGTCACGAGAAAACAAGCTGAGCACACTAATGTTTTGCTGATAATGTTTCGACAATCCCTTCTTTACTTCAAGGTTTTCTGCACAAGTGCATTCAGCTATACGAGACTACAGTAGTTCGCCATGGTCTAATGCTGATCGGTCCAACAGGATCAGGAAAGACAAAAGTAAGTTGAATCGGTTATAAAGCAAACTGTTGTCCGGGATACTAGATCTACGGAATTGTGTATAGCTTTGTACAATCTTCATATTCCGTGCAAATTATAGTGATTAAACTTTAAGGACGAAGAGACAGAATGTCTCACTTCACAACTTGCTGGTTGAACGAACTTCCTGTTAAAGTCAAACGTTTTATTGAAATTATCATCAAATTTACCGCAGTGAAAACAGGAAAGAAAGATCCTGTCAGCGTTTCTGGCGAACCAAGCATGCCGTACATTTTACCAGTGGTTATAGACACCTCTTCGATATATCTGTTTACTTTTTGAGGCCTTAGTTTCTATTTGAAGCCATACTGAGACAGTGAACGAAGTAAGCATGTACGTATAAGTGTCTTCTATGAACTATGTTCAGTTTGCGTTATCCTGATCCGAAGAGCGAGTAGAACATGGGCTCAACTAGTATCCTTATCAAAAAACACCCATGATCAGGTTCACAAAACACTATGGCATCAAAAATGACGTCTAGAAAGCACGCATTTGTTTAAAAAAAAATCAAAAGAATGAATATGTAGTCAACAAAGAACTCTAAACAAAGGTACTATTTCTATTTGGATATGACAGCGTGTCGCGAGTTTTCATGCCCAACGATCACATATATGCAGTTGTAATACTATGACTAACTTTTCTATAATCAGCCTGATCCGTTTATTTCATTTCAAAGACTTGTGTATTCGCAACTGAACACAGCAAATGTAGATTGATTCTTCTCTACTCTGGTAAACTGAAAGCTAGCTGTAAAATACCATCAGGAGTTTAGGTGACTTTTAGAGGACGTACTATTGCGACCATTATTGTGGTGTCCTGATCTACCACCTACAGACTCACCACAGGTACACTGACCCAATCTCATGAAAGGTTACGTTAAGTCGACCAGTGAAAGACCGGAACCAATAGAAAGAACGGTAGATCGATCATGTTGGACCAACATGAATTGTACCACAAGCTGCATTCTACAAATTTGTCTTTTATATTCCGGCAAGAGACTTATTGCATAGATCGTTCACAGCCGGAAACCAAACCAAGGTGTGAAGAGAAGGGAGGAATGTAAAATGCCATATCTACTATTAACTTCTCAACATTCACTACAAAGAAGACAAAGAGACTCAGTACACATTGGCCAGGCGCATCGTTTTCGCGGTTTCTCAGTTAATTGACGACAACTTTTATCGACAGAGCTCAATAAGGTATGATGACACTGGACCGGAACGGCACTCTTAGGGTCTTGAGTATGGCGTTGTGAAGATGATAAGTCAATGAAAAAGCATTTCGCTGTTTCAGCCCAAACCGGATACCCGACAACTTTCAAGAATACATAATCCGGTGCCCTGGCTGCAGCGCATGGCGAGCATAACATCAATTCATCCAGAAGGTTCTATACGACTGCAGACGACCAAATCCGATCATTCCGTTTTCACTAGACGTTATTGAATGCCCCAGCTGTGTCCTTCTGTTGTGTCATTCCGTTAGTTCGAAAAGTCAACTGGTATTATCGGAGAGGTTTCTTGACTCAAATGCAGGTAGAAACGACTGACGTCAATGGGTTAATTACACCTCTACCAGCAGCCAAACGCCCGTGTTTCCCATAGCTGTTATCGGCTTCTCGTGGGCCTTTCGGTATTGCGCTCATATATGGTCCAATCAGAAAGGAGTACCTCAGCAACTAAACAGAAAGTTTTGCTGCCAGTACTCACATTCCGCCCATTGTTGATGGGATTCTATTTGCGAGCAGTGACCAGTGCGGAGCTAGTTAAAGTGGGCATCCTACCCACCCCAAACGGTGCCCTAGAGATCACCAACTAAGGCATTAGATTTTTGGTGGCCATGGTAACAACCAAAGTAGGGGACATTGAGTAGGGTACTCAACAAGCTATGCCGTGTGATGTCTCTGCCAGCCATGGTAACTTGGTTACTAAGGCACCTCAATTAGGCCGGCGCATGAACTATAGTTGCAAAGCCCTCCGAAAAAAACTAAAGCCCAAAGGTGCGACTGATGATCCCGGTTCACATAGCCAAGGTGAGAAAAGCCTGAGCGAATCCCACCCCGCGTTGTCGTTTCTCTGGTAGGCGTCGTTCACATCCTCGCCGATGGAAATTTTTGAAGGGCCTGCAACTGGACCAGTGGTATCCCACACACTCATGTAACCGTAACGGTACGGTCAAATGGCCTGGCGAAGAAAACGGGTTTGAGGCTGGTCAGGGTACATTTTACCCTAATGATTAGGTAAGTGGCAAAGAACCCTAACCAGCGTCAGCGCATAGCGCCGCGGCAAGCCTGTTAATCTGTTTCGACAATGACATTGCGGGAAGCCACACTAAACTCCACTGGTCAGGTTCCCTTTGCGTCGCTCTACTACCAACGCGCTATCTTCGGCATTCTACCCTTAAGTGCCGTCATTTTTCATGAATGGCATTTAGATCAGCTTCGTAAGTGAAGTTGTAAGCCGGTTACCGCTTTGTCATTCGCTCTGAAAGAGGTCTTCATTTCCACGGGACATCGATGGGTTTTTTGGATGGAACAGATTTGGAACTGAAAAAAATTGTTCCCACTGTGGGAAGTTCGCTCATGAGGAAGGAACTACTTCACTTGGCGATAGCAGCAAAACACGGGAGAATACTGGGGTGAATTATGGACCAGAACCTCGGAAACAAACAACAAACCACAACTAGTTCAGAAAGAAGAGTAATTCACAAGACGAGAGTACCTTCCATCTGAGGAATCATCACCAACATATGACTATGTGGTACAAACTCCGTAATTGAATGATGAGTGGCCCCATTTTATTCTTTATTGTCTGAGTGCGACTCAACCACGCTGCTGATCAGCCACTCGTGGCCGAACGGTTTAAGTTTCAAATACTGGCCGGGAGGCTGTGGGTTCGAAAACCTTGTGTTTCGTGAGACGCGCAATACTGATGATTCCTAACGAGGATAAAACAGCTGCGCCGGGCTTCTCGGTGTCGCACCAAAACTTATAAATAAGTTGGGAACGGTCATTTGGCAGTGTGTCATACTACCGGTAGCTCATGTGTTTCGTGGCTATTGTTAAGATACCTAATAGGATACCTAATATGAGTAAATCCAGGGAACTCCCTTCCTTACGTTTAATTCCAAAGTCACAATACCGTTGCGTCAGGTTTTATCTGAGTGAATTGTTTCATGAAGCTGTTTCAATGAGGCTCCCGGGAATAGATGTAATACACTACTCTTCTCTAAGAACATCAAGGCGAGAGATTCATCTGGGTTCCAGGTGAGCCTCCCGTCAAAACCGAATCGGTATGCAAGTAAGTATATTTCGCTAAGCTCTCGGTTACTTTGTTTTGAAACATTCGTCAAGATGCGATGCGCTCCGAATGGGTTGGTTAGGATTTCTTCACCAGATTCCCACCAAATCAATCACGTCGGGAATTTCACTGTTACTTATGTTGGCATTGAGGTCAACCTTGAGCTTCAAACATGTTCAAGATATCTGATGTCGACAGAATTAGTTTACGTGAATACACCGTTAGATAATTTACTCTTGTGTTGCATGATACAGTTGTGCAACATGTCTCGTTGGCTAACATCCCGGACAGACAACCTGAAGAGAGCCGCTTGCATGAATGAGCGACACAGGCCGGCACAGCGGCGTCATGTGAGCAGAGCAGAGCGTACGGGACAAGGTTATGTACAACGTTCTCCAAGGTGTGAGACAGCCGACGGACACCAGTAAAATAGGGTGCACGCGCACGCACACACACACACACACGAGAGAGAGAGAGAGAGAAAGTTGCGCCTAGCTGACGGCTACGATTCTGAGCCATGGGAACCCAGAAGTAACCAAATCCAAATATGTTACATTCGTTAATCTGAGTTAATTGCTCTCAAACATTAGGACGGTCGTTTCTAGTTTTATCTGAAAGTGACTGACTTGTGGAAGACAGCCAAGTCTTCACATCTACGAATCCGTATGTGACTGGGGGTCCAGCTGCCTCTAACAGAGGTAGGTGTTTAGGCGTCTGTACACTAAAATGGGCTTAAAGAGCAACGGATGAGCCGTGTAAACATGCAGCCCAGAGCGGTCACTAGCCAGGCATAGAGAGTACGTCTAAGGTCATTTTTCGTAAAAACAACTCGCGGTCGTCAAAGTTCACGGAAGCCATCTTTCACGAAAACCTCAACTGTGTTCAAAAGTGGATGGGTGTGATACATTGCACTTGTAGTTGTAATGCAGTTAATATCAACAATGCCTTTGTAAGGTTCGTTGTCGGTGATCCCTCCTTATCAATTATATTCACGGTCAATTTCATTGTACGCTTCTGTGGTTGTTGCTTCACTGTTTATGAGTTTTTTTAAATGAAGCGGATTGTATTCCCTTTGGACAAAAAAATGCAACCAATATGGACGCCGTAGCGTGTGGATTTTCACATGCTGGATTAATCTACCCAAAAGTGCATTTGCACAATGTAACTCTGTCAACATGAATTACTGTGTGACATGCGCAAAGTTCAACAGTCAACTGTCAATGCGAGTATTAATGAAATTCCCGATGTAACTAATTTGGTGGGGTGTTCTTGAATCTAATGAGGTCCAACCTACTCGGCGCGTGTTCCATGGTGATCAACATCCTTCAGAACGAAAACACTTCTTTAGTTTTGTTTTCGCATGGCATAACCAGTTGTGCACATTTCCCCCTCTGTTTTCTGTCTTAGTGCTACGAAGTGTTGAAAGATGCACTCACCTCATTGCGTAACAAACCATCGCCGGACGGAAGCTTCTTCCAAATAGTCCACACCTATGTGCTTAACCCGAAGTCTATCACAATGGGCCAGTTGTACGGTGAATTCGACTTACTCACCCATGAGTGGACTGACGGGATCCTAAGCACTCTTATTCGCCAAGGTGTCAACGCAAACAACGAAGAAAAACGCTGGTATCTGTTTGATGGGCCAGTGGATGCTGTCTGGATTGAGAGTATGAACACCGTCTTGGATGACAACAAGAAGCTGTGTCTGAGCAGTGGAGAAATAATCAAACTGACCGACGCAATGACCATGATGTTTGAGGTGGCCGATCTGGCAGTGGCCTCACCGGCAACCGTTAGTCGTTGTGGTATGGTCTATTTGGAACCTACTATACTGGGCCTGGATCCTTTCGTGCAATGTTGGATCCGACGATTGCCCGATGCCATATTCGCACATCGTGACAAACTCCAAGCATTTTTTGATCTTTACATGAATGTACGTTGGAACTAGGGATTAAAGTTAATCAGTGGTCATTTTATCGGTGTTATTCGTGTGACAGTTGCGTGATAAATTCTACTGATTATTGGTTTCTCCTATTAAAATAACTTTGTTCTATCTTCCTCTCACATATAGGATACTCTAGAATTTATCAGAAAAGAAACCAAAGAGGTCATCCCGACTACGGATGGGCAGCTTTGCTTCAGCTTATTGAAAATGCTTGAATGCTTCTTTACTCCGTTCTTACCGAAGGAGGTAAGTTCCTCTAATCATGGTACTAAATGAAACGTCCCTTTGCTCCACAAAAGCATAGCAATGTATAAGTATCAGGATGAAACAAACCTGTTAATTGGAAATAACTTTATCAGCATAATGAACGAAGACCATCGTACACCTGGAAAAAGAGTCTTTATTCCGGCAAACAAAGGACCCTATCCTGCTGATTCAGTGATTTTCGAGTGGTTCGTTTTGGTAGGTGTAGATTTCGGTAGATTTCAGGTGTAGATTCCTGAAACCAAGCGACTTTAGATGGACTCGTTTCTGTCAGTTATAGAATTACTTGGCGCTTCAGTAAGTAGATTTATGTTAGGGCAAACTAAGAATAGCAATTAGACACTAACCACAGTATCTACCGGTCACGTCGTCCGATAATCGAAACGGCCCCAATGATTTTGCTGCCAGAATACTTACTCAAACAATCGGCTTAGCAGTACATGTAGCGTAAGAGGTGTAACAGCGTGGCTTCACTCTGTCCCGAAATCCGGTTGTGGAAACTGGTTAGTCGGTTAACAAGGTGGAACGTGCGTTTCTAGCGCATAAAATCTGCCATTTTTCGGGACGACTGACCTGGCAGTGGCCTCACCGGCAACCGTTAGTCGTTGTGTGGTCTGTTTGGAACCGGTTATATTGGGGGGCCTGGATCCATTCGTGCACTGTTGGATCCGACGATTTCCGGATGCCATATTCGAACGTGACAAACTACAAGCATTCTTTGATCTTTACATTATTCCTATAAAAGACACAGATTAGCAAACCTTCAAATTTGGCGTTTCTGTGTGATCTCTGGTGCATGCTGTTTGGTATTACGCTGCTGCTGGGAAGGTTCGTGTATACTCTCTTCGAATTTCTAATCTGGTTCATAAGGGAAAAATTTGGTTTCAGGATGTGTTACCTGTGTTGTCCCCCACCCCACCCCCGCCTACCAGAAGCTCCAGAACGTGCCTTTCCGTTACTGGCCTCACTTAATCGATAATCATACTGAGCCAACGCGCACCACCAGCGCTTGCGTGACCGTGCTACCCAAGCAACAGCACTATCCACAGTAGTTTGTCCAGTGGTGGACAGAACCGACTCATCTCAATCGGTCGACCCTGCCGCAGGTGCTTGCTCCGCTCTCAGTAACATCAGTTAGGTTTCGAGACAATCACAGGTGCATCAGGGTGGTGTTGTCTAGCTTTGTGCCGTTTTCCTGAGCTGTGCGCGGCTACCATGCTGCCGATTGACCACTTGCACCAACCAACTCGACCGGATATGAACAGGCTTTACCACAATGGGCTTAGAGTCTGGTTAACTTACCTCGTTCATGGACACGTTGGAACATGCTTGCAAAGCTGCGTTTCGATGCCCGTATTGGATCTACTTGCCACCGGATCGTCAACTTGCATCGGGTTCTTCATAGGCGCACAGAGTGCGGCAGTTGTGCCGCGCAAAACGTTGGGTGTGACTCTCCACTAAAAAAGCGGAAACCTACCGGACTAGCCATAGGCTATTCACTGATTGGCCTAGACACCGATTGTCCGCAGATCCACCCACACCACTGTTACGTTGCATGGGCTTGAGTGGAGAATGTTTAGGCAGAGGGGGGTAGTATATTGGAAGAAGACAGCCTGGAACGGACGAAAGCACATGGGCTAATGTACGCGGTGTAGCCGAAGTGCCGTAGGTAGCCAAACCCCTTCAGTTAGCATGGCCTAATTAGATATGGTGTGTCCGCTTGTTGTTTAGATTGGCAACAAGTCAGGGTTCGGCTTTCCTCACCCATCACTGAAATCAGTTCACTAGGCCTGCCAGCTAACGGTTAACGAACGAAGATGAGCATTGGCCAGATGTGCGTACACATCCGATTGCTCTTAGAGTGTTTTACGGCGGGCGAAGATAAGTTCACATGTGACGTCCACCATTTGTATTCGTATTTGTCTTAGCCAGACAGGAAACGCAATGTTCCACACACACGGGCGCCAATACAGGGACACTCAGCCTGTCGGCCCACATCTAGCACCTATAGAGAAACCGGTTGGTATGAGCTGCGGATAGTACTTATGGCGAGAGAACGTGTACACCTTCAGCTGAAGAAGACGGAGATCGGTTTTCAAGAAACAATCTTACTGTCGTTGCACTCATCATACAGGTATTGAAAGAAAACTGGTTTGGAATTAGGATGAAGGCACCAAAAAAGCTTCAGCATCAGTACGCCAACACAACCCTTCCCGAAAAACAGCCGTAGCACCTGGAGAATAATGCCTATGTTGTAAGCGAACTGGATTCACAAACACTATGAACCGATATTCTATCTAAATCGGAGTTAACAGAAGACAATAAAAACTATCAGGATATGTTGCATCTCATAAGAATTTTATAGGCAAACTGTCTAATTTCGAGCTTTTAACCCGGGCAATACCCGACAAATTCTAGCATTTCAAATTAAAAATATATCACATAGCCTGTGCAGACTTAAAGAAAAGTGAAATCTCACAGTTCACTTCCCACAATCATGATGGTTGCTATCCATTGGCATTCCGGGCAACATGGATGGCTGGATAGTGAGGATATTGATACAATGTTACCTGGGTCCGAAGTAGACAACATAATTGTATTAGGTGCAGCACCAAGTAGTAAAGTAAGGCCACCACCCTTGTTTAGAATCGGAGTTGAGGCTAACAGATGGATCTATTCTTACAGGGCGTTCGACGGACAGACGACAAATGTGTCATATACTACTCATGATCTCACTTGCTTTGAAACCTGATTTATTTGCAGGATGTAGCCTGGTTTTTGTTTCAAGTAAATCCCTGTGACTCTTCCGCACACCACTAACACACAAACTTTTGGTGTACAAGTGGGTATCTTTTTGGCAGTAAGCGCAAAACGGAATACTAGTATAGTAAAACAGGGGAAGCGGTCTTCGCAAGCACGTGTATGCGGTCATAACCATGTATGCGATAATACCCGCATATTCTAATGTGCTTACTTAGATTACTATCACAGCAATGTAAAAAGGTCGGTGGCTGAGGTCGACTGGGAGCTAGCAATCTATATTCGTCCGTTGGCTTTAGACAACAGATCAGCCTTTACTGCAATACATTTATACTATGCGAGCTTCCCAGGTTTTACCTCCACTTATGGCCATATACTCAGTCAAAAGTGATTATTTCGATGCTAGGATGGAGGATACATAGAGTCGGAACACATGTATTGGTCGGACAGACCTTTGAATACGGGACTCGAAGAGCAAGTGGACCAGACACCGTCAGGTTTCATGATTAATCAACTTAACCCCGCGCGTTTCATAGTAACCAGCGAAACTGCAAGCTTTCTTGGGCTATTTTGAGGTGAACTGACCATTTGGAACTGGTTAGTTTTCCAACTACTCAAAAGAGCATCCTCCCGACAGCGGCATATCTCTGAACCGTATTTTTGTTTTGGTAAGGGATGCATTTTGGGTGATATGGTTGTCTCCCACCCATCGGAACGTTGGGTGGCTAGCGATTTTTGTCGCATGTGATGCTGTGATACTGAACTACTTGACCAGTTGAGGTTCTGCTGAGTGCCCGGCCTACCAAATGAGGTGAAGCTGCGTGTACGAACACGTGACAGACTTGTGCAGCATGTTTCGTATAAACGAAACAGTGCGACTACCAATAGTGAAAACTGATTGCGGTCATCTGCTGAAGGCTGATAGCGGACACCCGACAGAAGATAACACAGCCTAAGCACACACAGGCATCAAATGGGGCACACGAGAATGAGTGTACATTTCCGACTTTTGCAACCTTTTGGACTAACCTATTTTGGAACAGCATTCGATGTCCTTGGGTCTATAATGCTGCTAGCTCGACAGACACAGAAAGCTTTGCGGAATGCGAAGCCCACACAATTCGACAATTGTGACAGTGGCCATACCCTCCTTGTACATTGTGAACTGGTTGCGCATAGCGATGAATCTATGGTCGCCCATCGAGGGACACTGCGTCAAAATCGTATGGTGCTGAATCATTTTGGTTCTATAGGTTGAGTCCTATGACATTCCTTTATATGTCGCCTGTTCCGTACGAGTCTTCAGCAGGTAGCCGTGTTCAGTATGCACAAATGGTCGACGCACTGCTTTGTTTACGTGAAACATGATGTGCCAAAGTCTGCCACATGTTCGTACGTGAAGCTTCGGTCTGTTTTCCAAGTCCTTTCCTCGATAACTGGTTGGTTGGGTATTCTGCAGAACAGCAGCTAATCAAGTGGTTCAGCAAGACAGCGTTAATCAAGGTAGCCTTGTTTAGGATCGTTCGAAAGGCGAAAGCAACTCGTCGGAGTATTCTCAATATTTCCTTCTCAGGAAACTTTTAAAGCAGCCCGCCCAAACATGTACCTAAAACACCTTGCCCCACCTTTGGACTGCAGGTGATAAAGAGGACAACATCTATGTTGAGATATGTAAAGATGGTGAGATTTTGCAAACTGTTTGTACAGTGCTATGCTAACGGCGTTGTGTCTCATTAAAGTCTACCAGTTCCGCCAATCTCACCTTTTTGGATTGGTCCGTCTATTTTCATTGAGTTGTTGTATCCAGCCTCATAAATTTCAGCCTTAGTGAAGTTCACACACTTGTATATGCCCCTATTTGTTACATCATGGTGCTTCCGTTGTCATATTATATCAGTATTTCAGGTGCTTACAAATCCGAATTAGCCTTTATATGCTAAGTATCGTCTGTTATTTAGAGTTGAGTTCATAGTTCCTTCAGATCTTCACTGTTGTACTTACAGTACAACAATGGCTGCACCCGTCCTAGCCAAGTATACTTGGGGTAACTTCATTTCTGGTCGACGATGGACCATGGGTCATGAGAAAAGCTGGGTAGTCAAAGTCACATTGTGATCACATTGCCCGTTCACATGTACTGTCAGAATTTCAGAGTCGGGCACACGGATCCGAAGTACATATTAGGAGAGTTTTCCTGGAGCTTGACTAAAGTAGGACCGTGGTACAGATATAATACACTACTCATTGCGACTCATACGACTGCCGTTGCTGTTGCGGAGAATTTTCCAAATTGTCAGTGAAAAGCCATCGTTGTGCCACGTGCATCACACGGGGATGCGTGGTGGACGCGAACGTCCCAACATCCCCAAACGTATCGGCTTCAGTGATCAGCGCCAGACTGAAGCGTCTGTACACATCAGTGAGCATTAATCAGACTTATCCATACAATTCATACGACAAAAGCTCTTCTGGGTTGGTCAGCGGCTAACGTTGTTCGAAGCTAACCTCGAGGTCATTTGTCTGGTCATTCGACCAATTCACTTGCGTGGTACAGTTTCGAGGCTCAAAGCTGGCACACCGAAGAGAACGTAGTTGCCCAAACAGGCTTGAAATTAGTGACTGCTGGGTAGGCTGAGTACAAGAAACTTTTATACAAATTCACACAAGGTCATGATGGAAAAGGTTAACTTAAAGCTGACTAACTGTTCTATGCAAAGTCCAACGCAAAGTAAAGGTGCTAGCTTGGACAATCAGATATGTCGATGTGTAGACACCTAGTAAATCGTTGTCCCTAGTCATTTTGATACATTCATACAGCTATCAATGTTTGAGCAAAAAAGGGGAACAATCTGTTATCAAGAATTCATTCGCCTAAAAAACACACGTCCTTATTTTTGTGTATCTTTTTTGACAGGCTGTAACTTCCAAAATGAAACGCATGCAGGTAAGTAACTCTATGTCTAACCCACTATCGAACCTTTCCTTGGGGATGTTTTCACATTTTGTATGAAGCTTACATGTTATAGATTTGATCCACTAGATATCTACCATCTATTGGAAGTTTGGAAGTACCTCTGGCTAATTTAGCTGCGCTTGGTGGGAATAATATACTACTGGGATTTCTTGGCAAGATTTTCAGGGTGCTGGATCTGCTACATCAAGAGCGGTGGTTTTCCATTTCATCCATGAACAAACTGTCTGTCTATGAAAGATTCTAGGGGAAGTTAGAATGTCGCTTAACCTTAATAGTTTACGCGAAAAGTGTTTATCGCAGCGTCCCCACAACATGTTGCCGTTGTGTGTATTCTACACTGAAAATGACTGGAAATAGTGATCAACAGGATAGGACCCCTGCGCTTTCACTCAATTTTTGCTGGATGATGTACTCAACGAGCCGCAGACTGCTGCAATTTTCAACCAGAAGGGTTTCTTCCAAACCTTGAAATTAGCGCGAAACTTTGCTATCCTCGTTCTACTTCCCTAGAGTTTACTCGAGCATACAACTTGGATTGGAAAGAATTGTCCCGGTACTACGTTGTCGCCGAATCACCCAAATAACAAGTGGAGTGCCTTGACCCATTGGTAGGATGAATAAAAACCTCTCAAATAAGTCTACACCTGATGCACGACAGTAGCAACAGCAGCAAACACGAAATTTGCTTTTCGTTGTTTCATATGTCAGAAACATTCCTTGTATATAAATACGGCATTGATGACTCTTCATCTGCATGGAGAAGTGAAAAAGTCACATCGTTTCTGCTTCTTCCTTGCAAAAGTTATTTTCAAACTAGACGATCGAAAATCGCCAAAGTTTGTAGCAACGCTTATTTAGAATTATCCAGTTTACTAACAACGGTACCATTCTCCTGTTGGAGAGCAAACAACCCCAGTGAATACCCTTGTCTCTCTGGGGGCGAATGTTATAAACGGGATGGTGAAGTTTTGACTAATATTTCAACCAGCTAGGCGCACTTGTGGTGTTTTTACTGTAAAATTCAACCAATTTGGCAAAAATGTCTTGCTGTTGTCATCAGTTGTATATAAGGAACATTCTGTTTGGTGAATACTACAAAGCCATCAAGAATTCCGGTAGCCATCGATAGCACCGTTTCGAGCTAGGAATCAGTCGGCTTTAGACTTTTTCACTTCATTCTTTTGCTAATCATTTTTGGTCTGTAACAGTGGTCTACAACACGAACAGCGTCGACCCCAAGAACGTTTCCAAACGCTCAGGTGGTCGGTGATCTGGAGGTAGCGCTCATTTTGGCAGTGGGGAGAGGCGATGGCAATCATGGAGACAGTGAAGCGTGAAGCAGCAGAGCTTCGTATTGACGGCGTTATTCAGTGAGATACGATTACAGAAATCGTTAGTTATCTTTTTGACGATAGGTGTTTTAATTCCATCAGCGTAAGTGACGCCATGTTCAAACGTCATTGATCAATTCGTTGACCGAAAGGGAATTGCCAAACCTGAATAAAGGTAGTGTAATGCGGTAGAAAAGCGGCCTCCTTCCGGATAATAGGGCGGTTTTCCGAAAACCATAGGAATCTGCAAACTTCTGCAAAATCCTCATTATGCGTAAGCTAACGTCACAAAAAATGAGTCACCCTGGGGACGATACTTTATAGAGTTGAGATTCTGCTTCCCGAAAACTGTACTCACTCCCCTTTCAATTTACGTTTGCTTGCTGGATTAACGCGTCACCCAAAAGACTCCTGTGAGATAACGCACTGGTGTTTCTAAGCTATGTCGTTCACTATTATTTACAGGCCGACAAGACCAAGAATCTGAAGGCACCTCTGCGTCCAATGGTTGACGATAAAGCCGTGAGTGAAACTCAAGCGACTGATGCTGCCCGGTGAAAGATTTAACAAGTGCTTCTCGATTTGTCCAACGATAATAATCCGTAAAACCCATTTTTATTGCAGAACCAAGTCACTGAAGACGTCCTGGTACGCATCGGTCAAGCACTGGAGTCTTGGTTTATATTCTCGTTGATCTGGTCATTCGGTGCAACGTGCACTAATGAAGGGCGAATCAAGTTTGACGAATACTTGCGTCGAAAAATGAGGGAATTAAAGGTAATTTTTAGTATCTGAAAATAACTATATTTTACTCTGAATTAGTTTGTATCAGTTAATGTCTGTGTATTTTTTGCGTTCTGTCGGCTGCGCGTGTAGAACATGATATGTAAACACTCAATTACCTCTGGAGAAGCGACCTGAAGGAATCGACTAGAAGGGGTCTCCTTACTTGTATTACAGAAGGTGCTTTCGCACATTAAACTACGAACAATTCTACCGATTTCGCCTGTTGTATTCGCTTTTGCATACCACAAAGGATAACAAACAAGCTGGACTCAGCGGAGTTGAGAGTCGGTCTGCCAGTAACACGCATAGCTCTTTGGCTGATACAGTTCTATTCTCCATTAGACGTACTGCCAATAAGTCCACCAAAAGCACCAAGTTTTTTTTCAGCCTATAGCACTTCCAGTGCTAGTTTCGATTTTCGACAGCGACGCCAGCTGATTATCAGCGTCCAGTGAGGCTGCGTCTTCAGATTTATCAATCTTACCGCTAACTTTATACAAGCTGACAGTTTACAAGATAGTTGAAGGTTAACGTTTGGTTTTTGAGATTTCTCTGTATGGATGTGACTGCTGCATGGAAGTGAGTAAACTAAGTTGAGCAGAGCAGCTGCTATGGAAGAAGAGCCTGTGGTGATCCTTCAATGCATACTGGGAACAACTTCGTAGCCAAGTTTGTCGGGTTGACAGTTTACAACACGAGTATTTCTAATTTGTTTGTAACTTTCCTTAAGTGGTCTATACCTTGTTCACTCTGTAGATTTGTTCTTTCTGGCATTAACGTACTCCCAGTTTCAGAAGAATTCCGACATCCTTCTAGCCTGACTACACTATTCGATAGATAGTGCACATGGCTCATTCATCAATGATACGCACGTGAAGGTAGCTTACGTATTCCTGCGGCGATCTCGGCGTATGTGGGATCGTTCATCTGACTACTCCACCGAAGGCCTTTTACGGGCTGTCGCACCAGACAGCTTGTACTTTTAACTCACGGACCTTGGGTCGTACCAAGTCATGCCTGTCGTGTCCTTCAGGCCACTGTTACGGCCCTGGTTACCGTGTGCACTATCAACATGCCGTCAAACTGCACTTTATTGTTTAAGGTCATACCGCAGCTAATTGCGTTTTTCAGAATGGCGCTGTTTCACCGGAAGACATCTGAAAGCCAGGCTCTCAATAGTTTTGGGCCGACGTTGAGCGATTGCGTCTACCTGTGGCAATTGGATAAAAGACCGGTTCAGTGAGGGGTAAGAATTAATCACCCTCACGGTCAACCGCGAAAATCAGAATAATCGATCCAGCGCACAAATACTCAGTTAGTAGAATTAAGGTTCATATCACCCTCGTTTGAACAGTCCTGCTCCTCTCCTGGTGCTATTATTCTGGTCAGTCCACGTCAAAGAGTAGAAGCGTCCATTCCCCTACCTGACAGCCGGGTCAATCGATCAACACAATAAGAACAGTCGCCGGCTAAACGTCTGAGCCATCTGGCGAACCAGCCCATAGCTCAAGTGTGAACATGTGCGTTTGTTCTAACGTGTCCAGCATTTGTTGGTCAGTTAGTGGTAACATGTTCGCCCCAAATGTCAAGTGTCCGGAGTTCTAAATACCGACAAAGTCACGGATATACGGTGCCGATTATTTATAAGAGGAGCAGAACTCGTACCCAGTGCTTCTCATCTTCGAAGTAAACTCACCTTACTAATCGAGCCAGGAGACGTGGAGGACAGTTCAAATGAGTGGTGTGAATGTGAATTGTACGATTCCGGCAACCATCTATCAGTTTGTGGCTAAAATCGTGTTGCGTGCACTGGCTATGTGCCACAGTAAGCCCAACGGTCATGCATTGCTCAAAGAAAACGCTCCTTCGAAGGGGAAACCTGGATGTACAGAACATTGGAAAGGCAATAGAAAAATACCCCTGCCTCATCGAACGCTTCCTTCAGCTCGGTTGACCAGTAAATAAAGTTTTGGTTCTGGATACACCCGGTTTCCCCTTCAGACTACGTTTGTTAACTATTTTCCTTTGGATATGACCTTAACTAAAAAGTAGATAACATGATGGGAAGGCTCGCGGAGACCTAGGTTAGGGCGATTGATTGAGGCTTACGGTGGACTTTTTTTTAGTGTGCTCTAGTATCCGTACTTCAGAAGTACACGCTCTGTGGCGTGAAACGACCACAGAAAAGTTTCAGAAAAGTCGTCGAATGAGGTAAATGAACCGATGTATATGATTAAATTCCTGTGGGAACTTATCGTCCACTTTTGTGTTGATCATCGTGATCATCATCGAAAGCAGCACAGCCGTAGCAATCATCACTATTGCTGCAGAAAAAGAGAGGGAAAGAGCAAAAACATGATGTCTGCGCCCCGAGAAAACAATGAGACGAACAAATCTGAGCCCCATATCGGAGTAAGGCACCACTACTAGGCTTGACCCAACGTCCTTTGCGAACCGCAACTAACAGCGGCAGGCAAACGTTAGCCATGCCGTCTGGCTAGAAAGTGATAACACAGACGTCGCCGATATCTGTTAATTTTCATGTTCTGTATGGGTCCTAGCTAATCACATGGACTTCAACCGGGACGGCGCGAAGGCACTCAGTTTGCTTATGACCGCTCTCATTTTGCGCGACCGTGTCACTGTCTCCTCTGCTTGAATTCCTCAGTTCAAAATGGGTGGTGGTTTGGGTGTACGTCGTACAGACCCTGTAGGGATAGTGCATACAGACGAATGGAATGTAAACCTTAATTACCCGGTACTTGAAAGTGAGAAGGTACTAGGACGAGCTGGTGTGTATCCAGTCCTCTTCAAAGAAGGCAGAAAATTATTCGTGACCCATCTGACAAAGCTTATCTGTATTACACAGAACAAAGAGGAAAAGTCTACAGAATGGAGCATGTCGAGATCCACAAAAAGGGTACGAGGATGCTGTGCGGAAACCACCGTGGCATCAGCCTGTTAGCTGTGGCATCGAAGGTGTTCTCTGGTCTTCTTCGAAGGTTGACTGAACAGAGAGAGAGAGATAGATCCGCGAAAACCGAGCATTCTGCAAGGAGATGCATCGGTCACATTTTCACGCTTCGACAGATTCTGTAATAGCAACACTGGTTCCAGCAACCAAAATGATTGTGTTCCTTGATATGAAAGCTGTCTATGAATTCATGGACCGTCAGGCATTGTCTATGGAGCAAAGGTCTTCCCCATAAATTCTTGACCCTCCATAAGTCATTGTACGCCGACCCCGCGGTTGTGTGAAGGTCTACAGGAAGCTCTCGCCTGGGTTTACCACATCAAGTGGTGTCAGGCAAGGCTGTTTTCTTTCACTTTTCCTCTTTAGCTTCGTCACTGATACAATTATCGAAGACCCACTACCAGCATCTAATGCCTGTGGGGTCAAGGTGCTCCCGGGGTTTCCGCACATAGGTATTGAGTACCCAGATGACATAGTTCTCCTTGAATCTGATCCGTGGTAATGCAAGTAATATTAAGTAATCTAAATAATTCTTCCTCACGGTTTGACATGTGCTTCACACCTGCAAAGTGTAAAGTGCTACTGCAAGACTGGGTGGGCTCCAACCTTATTCTCATTATTGCGGATGGGCCGATCGAGGCAGCAGACAAATTAGTCTACCTAGGCAACTGTGGTCTCGCGAATGATTATATTTCCATCCGGATTGGGAATATCAGAGCAGCTTTTGTGAACTTGCATCACGTGTGATGTAGGCGTGACATCGGATTATCTGTCGAGGGTTGAGTTTACAATGTTGTGATGAGTTCCATATTATTATGCGGGTCAGAAACCTGGGCACTGCGCGTCGGGGACGTCAAGAGTTTTTCGGTGTTTCATTATCGATACCTTCGGAGCATTGCCCTAGTCCGGTGGAAACAGTATTGCTGAGTGGTCTTTGATTATAGATGAACTGATCACGCGGCATAGGCTGCGCTGCCTCCATATGCAAGTTGACCGACTTCCTCGAAGAGTTCTTTGCGCACAACCAAGTGATGGGTGGAACTGAGCCTGGGGAGGTCAAACAATGACTTGGCAGCGAAGCATAAAAGCCATTAGCCGCACACTCAAATGCGCTGGTCACTGCCGTCTCTCTGAATGAGACCGCGAGACGGGGCACACCAATGGTTGGAGACATTGTCAGATATGGTCCAGTCATGCCCTCTGTGGTGCTCATACATCTAGACTGCTGCCTTCAATGCCTAGCTTGGCTCCTAATCTATCCAGTTAAAAATATCCACTGATAACCCTGTATTTACGCATCAGTTGTATCCGCTACCGCCTCCAATGCGCAACTATCTACTCCATCTCCCGAAACCACCGGTGAAGTAAACTGGCAGCTAGAACCACTGTCCGACAAGTACGCGATTCTTATAGCCGATGATGTATATCCTCCAACCGCCTTTGCAATTCTTTGTTATCTCTCACGGTCTAGCTTGTGATGGTCTGGTGAAATACAAGGGCATTGATAGAAAACCAACTAAACCGTTGTTGAGAATAACCCACCGATCAATATATAAACGTTTATCATATATGACATTTGATTAACTCAACGACGGACGGTCCGATTTTAAGAACTAACTTAAACAGTCTCCGTGCATTTTCGAATACAATGGCTTTTACTCTTACATGTTTTTTGTACCAGCACGCTTCCGTCCATACAAACGCACTGTTCGAGAAAACGTCTTCTGGATTGTCTGACCGCATGCTGCTCTGCGTCCGATGAGATACAGCGCCTCTCATTAAGAAGTGACAGTAGCAGTTCTGAAGTCCGATGGTTTCTGTTTGCGCAGGGGTAAGAGCTACAAGCAGAACCGTCGGCCTCGTGCAGACTAATCATTAGTTTGTCGCAGTGACGACTCTCCAAGGAGGCCACTCTTAGAGCTTATTGAGCTTCTGTGATTTGAATTACAAAAATTTTCTTCCGTCAAGTGAAGAACACATTCCGTGTGTTTTCCAGGAAAATAGGTGGAAATAGACACCGGACAGGGACGTGATCATAATCAGGTTGTGTATTTCCGGATGACCTGCAATCAAGAACGAAACCCCGCTAACAATAATTGACCGCGATGTGACCACTACGTTTGCTCAGCCCTAGAGGGGCGCCAAGTAGCACAACGGACCCAACTGTATTAAAACCAACTGCTACTGGGAAATAACTGTTGGTCGATACAAAGTTGCAAAATGTGCTTACCACAGTCAGTGAGTTTTGGATCTAAACAAAGTGCACCTCCGGGCAGGGTGGTTGGGTGCTGATACGGCAAATCTTTCACTGAATCGGAGCTGCAATTGGTTGGTGGAATAATGGCTGAGATCCAGGTCGGATTTGTGATCAGCAGTTGTCAGACCTCTGGACGCCTGGGCATAGTTGAGTGACACGAACGATTTCAGAGGTACCGAGTAGGGTGCTACATGGCATATTTTGGTGCTCGATGTAGACCTGGGATAGCAGGATCAAGGGGCGCATAGGCCTGTTTGAAACCATCAGCAAGCATGCAATCCTTCGCTTTTCCGAATGGCTTAGTGACGTGCCTGCAATTGAATTCCATGAAAGTTAAGAGCGAATAAGGAAGAAAACATAAAGGCATCAGTAGTCACATGTTTTAGCCAATACGGCCACACGCATACGTCTATTTAGATGACACGACTGAGTTCACCCGGCGATGGCCGATGTGGCACAAACGCCCTTTTGACAGCATATTTCATGGTTGTATGTGGACTGAGGTATTCTCAGAGCACCCGTACATAGAAATGAGGACAAGTCAGGTTATCAACCAAAGCCCTCGTCTCAAATCCTGACCTCAGAGCAGTGATGGCTGGCACAATACTACAGGAAGTCTGACGTTTTAGGGAATGGGGTATCACAGATATTCCAATCCACGAAATGGAAAACCAACAGACTGTTTGACGAGCCTGTATCAACTGACCCACCTGGTAGCAGAAACGTTGTGGATGCTCCTCTAATATATACCACTGGGTTACTAAAGTTCGCAATCCATTGAACCATGATAAGATCCACTCTCTTGGCAACGGTAGGTGAATGGTGAACAGTCTATGTGTATATTTAGTGTACACACTTGAAGACCGGTAACCTGAGTAGTGGTCTTGTTGCTGTATAGCTGATAGAGAGAGATGAAATTTCCCACCTGGCAATGAAGTTAATCGGTCCTGAGAAGCCGAGAAGTATTGTGCAGGTGTTTCATCTTCACTGAGAGCCACTGGTAATGCGTATTTCACGAATCCCCCAAAAGCTTAAATCCGTAACTTTCTACTTCATACGACAGAACTCAACCGCCCAGCTACGACAATGTGCGTAGTGTGCGCAAGAAATACACAGAACCATCCATCTGGAGGTTTGCAGTTTTTCATGGCAAGCTTACTTGTAAGTGGTATGACAGGAATTAGGTGCAATCTACGGACAGCGGGCAACTAATTTCACCTGGTTGGGGGCACATTTTCACTCGAGGTTTGTGGATTTTAATCAACCCTCCCTATAGTACTTGCGGATAACCATATCAAAAAATTTTGAACTCTCCGAAACGACAATTCATGACAGCCTTGGAGTTGCACATTATGCTTAAAGACCTTACGGTTTTCACCCGGAGGATCCCATATAGGATTTCCATAATACGGTGTAAATTATTTGCAAGTGAGAGTATAATTACAGTCCATCCTCTGCTCACGCAGCTCACATCAGGCGGTCTATTTTTAGCTGAACAATGGCGAGTTCGAACCACATGGGGATTCATAAGGCACGGGCTGCTCATAATTCCGAACAAGGATGAACGGCCCTAAACTATTGGTTGGTTAGTCTAAAATAAATTCCAGATCTTCTCATCTGTTTGTTAGATATTGCAATTCGGGTTAACATGAGTGTCAAGTAGATTATCTTCGTCCGACCAGTGTGTGTGTGGCTGTCTCACGGAGCATTCCGGTAAGGGAATCATTATGAATAGTCTGAAATCGAAGCTCGAGCATCGCATGAGCCTAGAACGATGCGTTGTTCCAAATGTAGTGGAATAGGATTGATTAAGGCTAACTGTGATTTCTCCTAATCCAGCCCTGTCAATGTCATCACATTCGGATATAACAAACAGATAAATAGTTCTACATGTGCTCAACGAACTTCAGTGCTGATTAGGCCATGCTCCAGGGGTACGTCCGTACCATTAACTTTTGTGTAACTACTGGCAGCGCATTCCAGTGGGAAGCAGATGGTATTTAATCTTGAATCCCCAATATCTTGACCAACCTAGTTCCCAAATACTGGTTTCTGAAATTTGATTAGGTGAGTGAAACTTAAATTCCTAAAGAAAGAGTAAATTTAGTCCATTTATGTTATTTCGTATACCCTCAGAGTATAATGCCATTCCCCGAAGAAGGTACGGTATACGACTATCGTTTCGACGATGCAGGACTTCTCCGAATGGACGCTCGCGATTTTGACGATGATGATGTGCCAATAGCTGAAAAGAAGGTAAGTACTGTGTTGAGAAGGAGGCCATAAAGGGAGACGATTCTATGCAGGAATCCATAGATATGCTCAGCTTTACAGTATTCAAAGAAAGCGAAGGTATAAAATTATTCTGGAGGAATTTTACAGCTTTGCAGCAGCGGCAAAAAAATGTTGTGATAACATTGCAAACAGCGATTGTTTGATCACCATAATGGCAATGTGGCCATTTTTGACCACAGACTGTTTCTGGAATCGCGGAATGGTTAAAGAATGCGCCCTAACATATATGAGCTGCTTTTGACGTTTGGGAATGCTTTGAACTGCTGTATTCGGGGAGTTTCACACTTTTAGCGATCACCACATATGACGCTGTTACACGAGGAGTTCAAATTGGCGATAGCAAATCCGCGCATTCTCTACACTTGCAGTTTGACATCAAGATCACAGGTTAACCCAAGTCATTGAAATGGTCGTGCACTAAGTGCCTAGTCTAGAATCAAATTAGCTTGTCTATGGGAACGAAATTCTCATTGGTAAATCACCCCACACTTTTGTATTCACTGAAGAACAATATAGTTTTATGACAGTTTTATGATTTAAATCAGATGGTGAATATTTCCGTCTCAAGGTTTGCATCGACTGTTTCCACCATGAGTCTTAAGTAGTTCTAGTGGATAGTGAGCCCCCTTTCGTGAGATGTCAGAATGCATAAAATTCTGTACCAAGCCCAGTGACAGTCCGTACCCAATATCTGCGTATCGGGTCGCCATGCTTATCGTTGCACATGAATGGTTAACGAAAGATATAAAAAGTCCTCTGTTTGCTATGCAGCATGACAAAATATTCAGATTTCCTGGCGCATTGGGTTGCGATCTGCATAAACGGCGGGTGCCCGGGGATTAACTGAAGTACCAAGTACGATTTATTCAGTAATTCGCCACTAATTATTTTGCCACTTATGAAATTTTCTGTTTACGAGATTCGTAGGTTCCATGAGGTTTGGCTTTGATCAACAGATGAGCTATGCTGAGTCCAAACTTCATATTTGACAGTCCTGGCGACGCAGCACTGTCTAGGACACATCCTGCCCGCCGTGAAATGACCTAAGATGAAAGTTGGTACTGGGTATTCCAAGTATTGTGCTCAATAACCTCGAGAAGATTTCAGTTTGGAATGCAAAGCAACTTAACAGTCCCGTGAGGTTACACGTAATTTACCCATCTGGATGAAGGCTATTTTTAAAGCACAAAAATAGAAGGTCATTACAGTTGGATGCCTCGGGTGACGTATTATAGGCGTTATATGTTTTGATTTTGAGAAACTTAGATTCCTCATTATCTCTTACCGCGCAGATGAAGAAGTATCATAGGAAAATTCACCTGCAAAAATGCAATTTTAGTCGAAAATAAGGGAGTTGCTACACTAATGACTCAGATGCTCGTCGTTTGGTTTCTGTTAGTTCAACTTTAGAGATTTGCCAAGGGTACAAAATACTCTTGTGTACCAAAAGTTCCAATAAGCTCCAAAAATCCTCTCTGAAATTTTTCTTGCGCAGATGAAATGGGTTCATTGGATGGCCAATATGTCTGAGGTGAATGTTCCATCGGATATTCGCTTTTCCGATATCATTATCCCAACCATCGACACTGTCCGATGTGGCCATTTGATCGAAATGTTGTTGGTAGCCAAGAAACCTGTCCTATGTGTCGGGCCAACAGGGACTGGGAAGACAATGACCATCATGAACAAACTGACACGCAATATGCCGAAGGAGTACATACCAGAGTTTATGATATTCAGTGCCAAAACCAGCGCCAGACAAACACAAGAACTCATTGATGGGAAACTGGACAAGCGTCGGAAGCAAGTTTATGGTCCCCCGATGGGCCGTTACATGATATTCTTTATTGACGATCTGAATATGCCAGCACTCGAAGTATTCGGAGCCCAACCTCCAATTGAACTGATTCGACAATGGATGGACTTCGGTGGATGGTACGACTTGAAGACTATTGGGGAATTCCGAAAACTGGTTGATGTCAACTTCATCGGTGCCATGGGTCCACCGGGTGGTGGACGAAATCCTGTCACTCCACGTCTAATGCGACATTTCAACTTTCTGGCCTACAACGAATTGGATGTGCAAAGTATGCAAACCATATTCGGAACGATTCTCAAGTCTTGGCTTAACCGGCTCGGTCCTGATAAACCACCAGCTCTTCTCTTGCCCCATGCGGATGCTTTGGTTCAGGCCACAATTTCCATGTACACCACAATTCAGTCACAACTGTTGCCCACACCAGCCAAAAGTCACTACACATTCAACCTGAGAGATCTTTCCAAGGTATTTCAAGGCATGCTCATGATGGAACCGACTAGTTTGATTGGTAGCTTGGAACAGCTACTTCGCCTCTGGTTCCACGAATCAACACGTGTATTCCAGGACCGGCTGGTAAACGACACAGATCGCGACTGGTTCCGTAATTTGATCAACGACAAATCGAAAGCAGTGTTTGAGCTACCTGTTTCGGAATATGTCACGAACGAACCGTTGCTCTACGGCGACTTCCTGACGGCTGCAGCAAGCGATGTGTGGAAGTACATCGAAATGACTGATCATGCACAGGTTAGTCGATCTAAGGGCGCACTTTTATCGGTAGGTTAACAATGCGTTGAATTTTAATTGCAGGCTATATTCCGATACTGGAATCATGTCACCAGGTTCGAAAACTCGTTGTGCTATATTTTTAGCAAGTTAACCGACTTGATCCCTCGTCGGTTGCCGTTTCCAGGAGCATACTGATACGACTGTCTGTGGTCAGTGCTGAAGCAAGGCAAGCTAGCATCTGCCTTGAAAATTTTGTGCACAATGTTCCCGGTTCATTTGGGGTTGAAAGGAAGATTTTAAACACAGAATATTACAAACATAACAATCATCCTTATTGGGAGTTAGTGTGTATCTCAAGACTCTTTTGGACGATTCAAAAACGAAATCTGGTTAGTGGTTGAACACCACATCATTCAGACACAGTTGGCTGACCAGCAGTGTGAATGACTTCCACGTAATCAGGTCAAAGCGCTACCGTTGTCCGACCACTCAGTTCAGACACTGATTTGGCAGCGAGGTATAAAAGCCATTACCAGCAAACTCGGCTACTGTGGTCACTGCCATCTTCCTGGCTGGGAACCCCGAGACGGGCCACATCAATGGTTAGAGACATTGTCAGACATGGCCCAGTCGCGCCCTCAATAGCGCTGGTGCATCCAAGCTATCTCCTCCAATGCATAGCTCCCTTCCCAATCCCCTCACTTAAGGGTCCACTGACAGTGCTGTATTTACGCACCAATTTATCAGCTCCCGCCTCCACTGCAGAGCTACCTACACCATCTCCCCAAATCACCAGTGAACGAAACTGTGGCAGCTATAACCACTGTGGGACAAGTAGGCGGTTCTTACAGCTGACAATGATGGTGATGATGACTGAGTTTTTAACTCATCTGACCGACCTCTCGACTGACGACTACGCAGAAGGAATGCCCATGCATCCGGTAGGATAGTTCTCTTCTGAGCGGTTTGTAAGTATTGGGGAAATTTTGTGATGCATTCCCAACTGGAATTAAAAAAAACTCCGCAGTATCCACAAATTACGGAACTACTCATGAATTTTTTTAACAAACACACATACTGAGGTTGACTCCCGTCCACTTTTTCTAAGTAGCAGGAACTGACCAGTAGTCACCAAAAATAGATATGTAATGAATATCTGTTCAGTACCATTCTGTGTCAAAATGTCTTCTGCTGCACCAGGTACTACAAGTGATCGAGGAAAATCTGGACGACTACAATCAGATTAACACCGCCAAGATGAACCTTATATTATTTATGTATGCAGTGGAGCATATATGTCGAATCGCTCGCATTATCCGACAACCGCAAGGCAATGCCCTTCTCCTTGGCATGGGTGGTAGTGGTCGCCAAAGCCTCACACGTCTAGCATCTCACATGTGAGTTACGCTTTTCTGTTCTTTTATATACAGTGTTTAGCAGAAGAAGCAGATTCATCCCATGATTATGGCTTTGCCCAACAATCACTTTGGTAATCACTTTCTGTTTACTGTGCATTACAGTCACTAATAAAAAGATAGAGATATGAAGTTCGCGCCTCACTGTCTCTTATTTTGTGAAAATGAGGTCACTTTGCCACTGGTGTCCAAGCGAAAAGTGGGAATAGTAATTCCGAAAGTAATTAAGTAAGTGATTCAGAAAGTAATAGAGTAACGGAGATTAACGGCGAGTTCGCTAGAAGTGCTCGATACCATCTAATTTTGACAAACCAAGCTCAGTACATTGGAGTGCTTGCAAATTATTCTTGTCGGAAGCTGGTGAAAGGTGAAGTGAACAGAGATAGGCTTTTGTACTGATTCCAAAGTGTAGCCTTGCATTTCATTGTAAAAGCACGCCGCCTCCGGGGTTTTGATGCAGATGTGCTTTACCGACGTTTCAGTAATCGATCACCCTGTAATGACACTGAAAAGCAATAAAGGAAAAAATATCGGTTCGCTCCTGGAGACTCATTTTATTAAGCAAAGTCGCTGCATTTCTAGTAGTGCACAAACAACGTCCTGGATGCTGTTCCAAATCCTGCATTGGCTGTTCGATTTAACTTGGGTATGACTGCTTCGTCTCCTGGTTGGTTCCTTAGAGTCTTGTGACAGACGGTTATTGTTTGTTCGCCCGGTTATCTGTATTGCTGACCAAATAAAACAACTGAAGCTTGTTGAGTGGATGACGTTGGTTTGTGCGGACCTTCAACTGTACTGGAATAATGAGAGAATTGATTGGTCGGCAGGCTTTGAACCGGATTCAGACACTCACTAGCTGATCGTGTTGTCTTGTTATCCTCTTCAGGCTTTGCATCACTTGCTACAATCCCCCCCGCACCTAGAAACCCCTTACAAAATTACATTACACTAGCTGCTTCATTAATGTGACAGTGGATTCATATGTTAGCGTTAACACTGCTTGCTAATCTGGGCATTATTCTGAATTTTCCTAATCCCACTCGCGCCGTTTGTTTTGTGATCCATTATCTACCGCTACTTTGGTTCTATCAGATACAAAAAATCACCCTCTTATTTCTCCTAGGGCTGAATATGAGTGCTTCCAGATAGAATTGTCAAAGAACTATGGATTCAGTGATTGGCGTGAGGATTTGAAAAAAATTATGATGACCGCTGGAATCGAGGACAAGTCTGTTACTTTCCTGTTTTCGGACACACAGGTAGGTTGAATATGTGTTGGCGACTTAAACAACTAAACTTAAACGAATTTATTAGGATCATGTTGCTGCTAAATCTCGGATTACGCTTAAGATTGATCCGCATTCAGCCTTGTCTGGTCCTCGGCGCTGTCCATCCCTCAGCAATCAGCGTATCAGTTTTTCCTTTTTGCAAAGAACAGCAAAACACAATGACGCCAAAGTCATTTCGTGATCCAACCCGATGGTGACTGAGTTTTGGTTGATTTTTAGTACCTTCCAGAATATTATTCTGGTGCGTAGATTTGAAGAACGCGTCCCCATGATGACTGATGTTGCACGCAATAAGCACTAGACTAGGTTTTACGGGTTCGTTGCTTAGATCTCCAGCTTCATGCATGTTCAGTTCTGGTGCCCGCGTCCAATCTTCACAAGGAATGGACAGGAATGAACAGTTATTAGGTTTTACGGGTTCGTGCTTAGATCTCCAGCTTGATGCATGTTCAGTTCTGGCGCCCGCGTCCAATCCTCACAAGGAATGGACAGGAATGAACAGTTCTCCATGAGATTAAATATGTTACCCGGTCTGACCAACACTCAGGAAGGGTCCCCTGGGTGAGTGTGATCTCTCGCTGAGGAGAAAAATGTAGCCGATGTCGGGCACGGCTGATTACCTCTAGAATCTAATGTTTGCTCTGCCATTAGGATTTTAAATTTTAGTTTCGAACTTGCAATTTTTCACCCAATAGGCCTGTATTCATTTAAATTTCTAGGTTGAACCGCCTGCATATAGGAGTATGCTCATGTGTAGAACTTAGGTGTATGATACTGAAACTGGAAGATGGAAAAACCAAAAGTAGTGGGAAGAATGTTGTGCATCAGTTGATGCGGCAGGTTTCCCAAATTAATGATACGGGGAAGCTTTCTTTATGCAGTCAAATGTGTTTTCATCTCTATCCAAATGAAAGGGAAGCTCCGTGTAGAATGCACCTCTTTAGGGTTACAAACAAGAGAAGTTCAAAAGTGAGACACATCTTGACCAGCGTTCCTAAAACAGATTTCCTCCAAAAGAATTTCGTAGCCATTGATTCGGCTCGATTGCCAAAATACACTCTAGTGGAAGCTGAAAAGGGGGCGATTTGGATCTAACCACTGACCACCTTTCGTTTCGTACTCACTTGTGAGTGTGAGCAACTGAGCAACAGTGAGTTTGGATGAACGTGTTGTACTCGTTCCCGAGGGCTCCGTGTTAGAAAACGTGTTGTCTATAAAAAAAACCCAGAATATTCGGTCATTTTTATAAGCTCCCAACACGTTCGCTAACGCACCCCAGTGACATCTCGAAAGGATTCGTAAAGCCTCGTTCAGCGATCAGTCTTTGTCAAGGCCTCAACGCACGAACCATATAGGGGGGCTTGAGTGCCGTTCAGGCAAGCCTCAGCTGAACGCCCATGCTATAGTGTGAATGAAAATGTCATGCATTATATGAGTTTGGCGGATCTCTTGCAAGCTTCCAATCAAACGTTTTCTCCTATTCGTTGTTGACCCCCTGTTGGCCATCGGAACCATGGTCGATTGGCTAGTGCGTATATTCCCATCGAATATCAGTGTAGAAAAATTGTCTCACAGAAATGGTAGACTTTAGTGTCGAGATCCGCTTCGACTTGGGAAGGCCCGTAGTTTTTTACCTTAACAACTTTCAATATCGTCCACGGTTAACTCCACGTTTGAGTGGCAGATCTAGACTAGAATTTGACTCAATAATTGAAATTTGGTTTTGTTAAGACAGGTTTTGAATGACAGATTGGTTCACTTCGTTTCGTTTCAGATCAAGTCTGAGTCTTTTCTGGAGGACATCAACAATTTATTGAATGCTGGCGACGTTCCTAACATCTATACACTCGATGATTTAGACAAGATCTACGATGCGATGAAGATGATTGCGGCCGATCAGGGACTCCAGCCGACCAAGACCAATCTGTTCAATTGTTACACAAAGCGTGTGCGCGCCAACCTGCACACCGTAATTACCATGAGCCCTATTGGAGAGATATTCCGTGCTCGTTTGCGACAATTCCCTGCACTTGTCAACTGCTGCACAATCGATTGGTTCAGTCCATGGCCTTCGGAGGCGTTAGAGTCGGTTGCTCTGAGAACATTGAAGCAGATGCCTGAGCTAGATGTGGATGATAGCACGATAGAAGCCATGGTTAAAATGTGTATCGATCAACACCAGTCGGTGGTGCGTAATACGGATCTACTGCAGAATGAGCTGAATCGACATAACTACGTAACACCCACCAGTTTTCTCGAATTACTTGGGGTGTTTTCGAAGATCTACGGTTTGAAGAAAGAGGAACTCAAGACTGCGCGTAACCGCACCAAAATTGGTTTGGATAAGCTGCTGTTTACTGAAGAAGTGGTATCCAAACTACAGGAAGAGCTCGAGATCATGAAACCGGAATTAGAAAGAGCAGTAGAAGAATCCAAGGTCACCATGGAAGAGATTGCTCGTGATTCAAAGATTGCTGAGGAGACTCAATCAGTTGTGGCACATGAGGAACGTCAGGCGATGAAAAAGGCCAAGGAATGTCAGACTATTCGTGATGACGCCCAGCGTGACCTTGATGAAGCAATGCCCGCACTCTACGAGTCATTGGAGGCGTTGAAGTCACTGAATAAGAACGATATCACTGAGGTGCGTGCTATGATGCGCCCACCGGAAGGCGTCCGTCTAGTGATTGAAACTGTGTGCATAATGAAGGACGTGAAGCCGAAGAAGGTGGCCGGGGACAAGCCGGGTGTTAAAGTGGACGACTACTGGGAGCCTGGAAAAATGCTCCTTCAAGATCCTGGGAAGTTTTTGGATTCATTGTTGAACTACGATAAGGATAATATTCCAGACGCAATAATAGCTAAAATAAAACCTTACATTGAGTCCGAGAGCTTTATGCCTGCTGCGATTGCTAAAGTTAGCAAAGCATGTACCAGTATTTGTCTCTGGGTACGTGCAATGTACAAGTACCATCATGTGGCGAAAAACGTAGCCCCAAAACGGGCGGCACTACAGGCTTCAGAGTTGGAGCTAGCTGAAACAGAGAAAATACTGAAAGAAGCTCGCAGTCGTTTAAAAGCATGCGAAGAACGCATCGCATCACTTCAAATCAAATACGATGAATGCATACGTCGACAGCGCGAATTAGAAGATAAAAGTCAACTTTGCGAAGCGCGTCTAGTTCGGGCCGATAAGCTAATCGGTGGACTGGGTAGCGAAAAGTTGCGGTGGCAGGATTCGGTTGTGAAATTTGATCAGCTGCTTGATAACCTGGTTGGTAACGTGCTGTGTGCTGCTGGATCTGTTGCTTACTTTGGCCCGTTCCCAGGCAAGTATCGTGCTGACATGTCTAATGAATGGGTAACAAAATTACGAGGACATGCTGTTCCGCACACCACGGATCCATCACCTACCCTCGTCCAGACATTCGGGGATCCTGTAAAATTGCGCAACTGGCATATATTTGGTCTTCCGAAAGACACCTTATCCATAGAAAATGCATTTATTGTGCAATTTTCGCGTCGTTGGCCGTTATTCATTGACCCACAAGGTCAAGCTAATAAGTGGATCAAAGCTCTAGGATCGGCTGACGGTATGATTGTTCTCAAGATGTCTGACAAGGACTTTTTGAGGAGTTTGGAAAATACCATACGATTTGGTAAGCCGTGTCTCCTAGAGAACGTGGGTGAGGAACTTGACCCAGCATTGGAACCCATTCTCCTGAAACAGACTTTCAAACACCAGGGAGCGACAGTCATCAAGTTGGGTGACGCCATAATCCCCTATCATAATGACTTCCGCTTCTATATCACCACCAAACTTCCCAATCCGCACTATAAACCAGAAGTTTCCACCAAGGTTACTCTGGTCAACTTTACCTTGTCACCAGACGGATTGGAAGATCAGTTACTCGGCTTGGTGGTTGCTGAGGAACGACCTGATTTGGAAGAAGCAAAGAGTCAGCTAATTGTAAGCAATGCCAAGATGAAGGAAGAACTGAAAGAGATTGAAGACAGAATTCTTGAACGCCTCAGTGCAACGGAGGGGTCACCTGTGGACGACATCGATTTGATCCAAACACTAGAGGCTTCAAAGCTCAAATCTAGTGAAATACAGGCCAAAGTTGTTGCAGCGGAGCAAACAGAACATGATATTGACGAAACCCGTAGTAAATATATTCCTGTCGCCGTTCGTACTCAAATCCTATTCTTCTGCGTGGCCGACCTTGCAAATATTGATCCGATGTATCAGTACTCATTGGAATGGTTTGTCAACATTTTCCTCCACGGAATTAGAAATGCAGACAGAGCTGGTGAGTACTCACTGCACAAAATGTTATATAAGTTTTGTGCTGGGAGGATAGTGGTGTGTTCGATAGCTAATAGGTGTTCATTGATGAGATGATTATTCTTTGGTAAGTCCTTTTCGGAGGTCCACGGCGTGATAGATCCGTTACGAAGGTGAGTAGTAAGCAGTAGAGCCGCTTGGAAGTCAAAATCACAGCATTTGTGACCACATCGGATTTTCGTGGGATTCACACGAGTTGCTAGTTGATTTGGTACACAAAACTGTACTTCAGACTTCGGTGTGGTGCTTCAACGTGTATTTTCACCGGCTCGATTCCGGCCGACGCTAATCATACGTGAACCATTGGGTATTCGAGCAACCAAGTGAGGTGGTGTGTGTACCAACCAACGGATACACCATTAGGTATTTCTGGTGTTAATGGCCGTGGAAGACTTGTAAAATGAACCACAAAATGGCAAAAAGCTCCACAGGAAGTTTAACCCCAGAAACGATGATTTGTTGTGTGTTCCTTCGCGAGTTTTGTGAGAACCCTAGGATTCTATACATATTGATTAGTGAGACCTAGAGCAGCGTCAATGGCCCGCTGTGGATGCACTGATGAGTATTTTACCATTCTCTAGTAACAGTCAAAAGCAGTCCTGTTTATTCAGTCATTCATTTCGAACCATTGTTTCCTTCCAGATAATGTGCCCCAACGAGTTCAGAATATCAACAACTTCTTCACCTTCAGCCTCTACTCCAATGTCTGTCGGAGCCTCTTTGAAAAACACAAACTCATGTTTGCATTCCTGATCGCTATTCGAATTCTCCAAAACGGAGGTTTCATCAATGCGGTTAGTTTCTAGCCTACTTGCACACGATGATTCCCTCTGTTAAAATTAAAAGTGATATTTTCTGCGGAGATGGATTATTTATGCATAAGTGCCGATGATGTCATGCTGTCGGTGATTTTGATTACTTTATGCTAACTTGGGGACGCAAACCCAGATCTCACTTGTGCGTCAGCCATCTGGAAACAAACAGATCTGTCGTGGACAAGCCCTCTTATGAGCATCGAAACCGGAAGGAATTACTAAATCACTCTGTTTAATTTGGTCAACATCAACGAGTGAAAGAAACAATAACCACATGTGGCAGTCATTCTGCATCAGTTTTCTTTGACTCTCGTGATTAGTTAATCTGCTCAAGATTTGTCTGGTGGGAGAGTGAGCGTTGAATTTTCCAAACTAATCAGTTGTAAAGACACTATTAAGTTTTAATTAAAAGACAAACTGAGTAGCTTTGCCTCCTTGTGTAGTCACTTGCATTCTCATGCTGGCATAGTATGTTGGTTCTACGACAAAAGGTTTGTTAGAGGGAATACCTGAGAGGTGATTGGAAGAAACCTAGCTCAGGTGCGGTTGCGTCACAGCTCACCGAATCTGATTATATCATATACAAGGAGCACACCTTCCAAGTCATAAACCGAGTACCCTTGAACCGTCAAAACCGATCAGATGCAGGCTATTATCCGACTCCATGACCCGTAACCCTGTGCTCAAAAGAATACCGAAAATCAATTGATGTGTGAGCAACCTTGTTTGACATCGACATAATTGCGTTGAATCTGTAAACCATTGTATCACCTACCATTCATTTAAAAAAAATGTACCCGTGGATCCGTCCACACGCAGATGTGATTGCTGTACCGTACACATTTGCAATGTATTAATCAAGAAAACCGCCCATAGAAAAAAAGCTTCGTTTGCCATCTTTGTCCTTACGAGAAACTTGTCGAAAAATGTCAACTGTAAAGGGAATGATGACAGCGAAACCTGTTGTCGAAATTGAGTCTTCGAGGTGCCAGCGCTTCACCATTTTTGTAGATGTGATTTTATGACGTCGACCAACTTCATATATGTCCGCTAACTTGTTTGAATTTTGCTCCCTTTCTTTAGGAAGAATATCGTTATTTGTTGGCTGGTGGAACCACAAAACCCAGGGAAGTTCCTAATCCAGCACCCGAGTGGATCTCTGACCGCATGTGGGGAGATGTGCTTACTCTAACTGCACTGCCGAAGTTTGCGAGCCTCCCAGAGAGCATAACCTCAGAGAAGGATGGCTTCAAAGCCATATTTGACTCACCAGAGCCCCATCGTGCCCGCTTTCCTGATCCATGGCAAGACGAACTGGACAGCTTCCAGCGCATCCTTTTATTGCGATGTCTGCGCGCCGACAAAGTGACCAATGCAATGCAAGACTTTGTTACTCATCATCTAGGCCAGAGGTTTGTTGAACCACAAACCACCAACCTACCAGAGGTATTCAAAGAGAGTTCACCTGCGGCGCCACTCATATTTATCCTATCACAGGTTAGTAAGCTTAGAACCCTGAGATGTACCAGTCAAGCCAGTTGTCTCGTAGGTTTTATGAATGCGCTCTGTAATTTGGCACCGAAAGCTCAAGTACATTTCAACTGAAACGATCCTTTTACCAGGCCTATGGACTGCAAACTATCACTTTTTCCGTGAGAATTATTAATTATCCATATAAAGCAATGTGGCCTCTCTCCGACGGCAAGATTTTCAGAATGGGTCAAGAGCTTGTAAGACCATGATTCTCAACCGAGTAATTTAGTGTTGTTCTTTATGCCAAACATTCTGACAGTACGGAGACAAATAGTATAGTGTAAGTGAGTAAAGAGGTGAAACTCCTGGGTGCAAACACAAAACAGTCCTTGAGAAGAGTCAAAGCCAATCTACCGCGGTCACCCATTAGGCGCTTTATCAATTTCAATGCTGATTTCACGTTCATGGCCATTTTTGTAGTGTATCAGGATGTGAAAAGCTGATAAATCCTTTGAATAGATGAGAATGGATGTGGCTACAACAAACGAACCTAAGCCAGTGTTTAGACAATGGGGATTATAGACAATATTGTGATCTATGTGAAAAAGCTTGTTTTTGATGTTATGCGTAGCAGAACTTCCATTCTGTGCGTACACTTTCTTTGCATGATATATTCTTTCCATCGGTTGTAAGCAATCTTCTCTAGGCTTTTTGTTTCACTGTTCTCATTAGTCGTCATTCGGGTCTTCAATAGAGAGCTCGTTCCTTAATTGAAGCCACTCTGCGCCGAAAAGTCGAGAATGCTGTAAAGCTGTTTCATTCTTATCTGGATTCACCGGCAGTTTGCATCTCACGAAATTCCAGGGGCTTTTGAACCCACACTGGTTGGATGCTGAACCGCTCGGCTACGAACAGCTAATCAGCAGTACACTTAGAAGGGACATATCACCACTTATCCTTCAAT